ATATATATATATATATATATATCGCACAGGAACCTTGCTTTCCTACTTTGCGGCAGATAACTTCGTTATGGCTGCTTTCAAGAACACCGAATTCGACACACCAATGCCGGTCGTCCTTTCGCTGAGAGACGGTAACAATACATAGAGGGGGTCTTGCAGCGGTGCATTTGTCCGCTTTATATTCTCCAGCTGAACGGGTCCTAAGAGAAGGTAGAAAGGCTCACTTGCTTTTTTGCGGTATATCTTCTGCTACGCAGTTCTTATGGGTATGCACTGCAGTTTGCTTCAGTTTGAGACCTGCAGCGGCCACGGTGCCAAATCCTTCCAAGGGTTTAACTTTGAGATAAGCAACCTCAACGACAACGGCTCTCTTCTATGGGCACCAAGAAGCAAAACGCACAAATGTACACCTACTAAGCCAACGCCCAGTCACAAATGCAATAGAAACAACGCGGCTCTACAGCTGCCTCGACAGAACAGCACTTCTCAAGAAAATTCTAAAAGCTTAATAGCAGAATTCTCAATTCCCAGGCCTTGTCCACATTAACAGTGTACACAGTTTTATTCGCTGATATTGCCTTCAGTGGACATTCTACAAGCAAATAGAACTACAAATACAACTTCGGACAGGGAAACTATATATATATATATATATATATATATAGCACGGCAAAACTGCAAGGCATGCAGTTGAAACTGTGTTTGTAGTGGCGCTTCGGGAGGTAGATCCTGGTCCATTGCCACTACGAGAGAGGAGAAAAGGACTGAATTTTCATGAATATTCAGCCCATGTCTCCTGATAACTTTTTCGAGAGTATCGAAAGACTTTTTCATCGCTAGAGAAGGTAAAAGTCTTTTGACGTGCCTTCACAAAAATAATAATCCCGGTCCACCACGTAGCCCAGCTGTGCTAGAAGGGCTCCTTGCTCTTGCCTCTCTCCCTTAACCAACGGGTGCTACGAAGTGTAGTGGGAGTCCTTAATTAGCCTAGGATGGTCGTGAGCTGCAATAAATATAGCTGCAATGCTCAAGGAAAGATTCCCCCCAAAGCAGCTGAGCCCGCTTACCTGTTCAGGCAGACTAAGTACAGATGCAAAAAGGCCTGGGCTCGTGTAGAGAAGAAGCAGCCTGCCGCGAGTTCCATAGCATTCTCAGTGGCCAGCCTGAACTCTAGGAGAAGTAGATGTTATGCTGCATGCTCTGTCCGAAGTTGGAACGCATTTCTAGTTGCATGGCATCCTTCTGTGGGCCAAGTAAATGTTTAACAATTGTCTACATTGATGGCGCAAGGAGCAAAGAGGGCCCTGTTGTACTTCCCAGCACCATATACAGCAAGGTGTGCTGCAATTCTGCAACTCTTGTTGGGCTCCCCGCATGCTGCCTCCTCTCCAAACCCATCCCAGGTCTTGCAGCCGCTGCGCCCAGAACGTCTGGAGATTGGAGGGGGTAGTCATCTGCTTCCTGGGAACTTGTATTCAGTGTTTTGAATTCATTGACGCTCACGACGGTCCTCAGACATAACCGAGGACTCCCTTTACCTGATACAGCCAACAACCATTCAGACAAACCCCAGCTACGCAAGTACGCGCAACTTTCCCACGCAACACAGTGCCGCACTACATATGGAGTAAGTAAACTTAAACCAATTTGCCTGCGTTGATCGTCCTTGCACATGCCAAACGCCGGCGTCAATAGTTATTACAAGGCCCAGTGAGACTAGACATAAGCTTAAAAGCATGTCTCAAGTATAGCTCAAGTACGATAATTCTACTTATTAAAATGCATTTTCTATTTTCATTCCGGATTTCGTTCATTGCCGAGCAGGAAATTGAGCAGTAGTTGATACTGCACGGCGATTGGAGCGATGCTGTTCCTCCATTGCGAAAGAAGGCTGCAAGCGAACTGAACTTCAGTTGATGGATAACTCAAACAAATTAAATGGATAAGCATAAGGAAGTTAGTTCTAAAAGATCTTTAGCTTTACTTGTTTAGCATTATTCCGCTCGTCGGGTACAAGCCCCATGAGGCCCACGGCACCCGTTTGTCTAATGCGGGCGTTCAAATAGATGATGTTGTTATATATCTTCACGTCGGCTTATTACCATTTATACTGAATTGGTCAGTATGCTCAGTTCTTTGGTCTTTTCATCTTCGTTCTTCTTTTTCCTGCCTCGTGCACACTTCCCGCCCGCAGCGCCGCAACGGGAAGCAGCAAAAGCGCAGGCGACTTCCTCCTGCTGCATATTTCCGTTTCCCCCGCGTACATTTCTTTAGTGGTATTCATCTGTTTGCTAGAGAGGCATCTGCTGCCCCTGTACGCGCTTGCTACATTATGAGTGCCCACCTCGTGATTTGAATTGACTGCAGCGACGGCACATCAACTCGCACAAGCCGGAGCAGCAGAGGTCACTGATAGTCCTTTTGCTCTTTTCAAATTGCGGTGCTGTTTCATTTATTACGCGCATCCTTTGAAATATGGCAAGGCGAGGTGGGGCAGCGGCAGAAGCCTTGCCGATTTCGTATACACCCGCAGAGTTCGTGCCTAGCCGCATTTTACCCACAAGCAAAGCTGTCGCCCTTTCTCTCATCAAGGCAAGTTTTCGTGGTGCACCAGCAATAATAGGATCAACAGCAGGGCAGCAGCAGCAGCCGCTGGGCAGGAGAATAATGCAGGGCAGCTGCAGCATCTACAGCAGTATCTCCTAGCAAGTATCTATTGCATTCGCATGGACTACACGTGCAACAGCAGCAGGAGGCTGTCCAGTACATGAACAAGTAGATGGCTTTCTCCCGCTCTTTGGTTTGCGTGTGCTGGACGGTTTAATCTGACTCCCCAAACAAGGATCACTTGAACTGATTCATTCTTTTTATCCCTTGCTATTTGAAATTGTCCTCTTAGGTCCCGAAATTTGTAGCGGAGTCGTGGCGCGCCTCTCCGCTAGATAGTACAGCGGGCATTTTGACGGAGAAGGATGGGAAGGTAGGCCAGGCACTTGTGGCTTTATTTCACAATATCGCGCATGCCTATTTACTTTTCAGTCAGCGTAGTGAGAGTGCTCTTGTTTTATTTGAGCTCTCTTACGTCTCATTTTTGTGGTTCATAGAGCAGCACTTGCCGCCATCCGGCGAGGTGATTTGTCTTTGTTACCTACACCAGACGAAATAGCTGAGTCGAGATTCTACCTGAACTCTTTCATTACTTAGGGAGGTACCAGTAAATTGAAGCGAGATGCCTCCATCTTGTGCAGTTTCGCCCGTTTCATGTTGTGCAGTTTCGCCCGTTTGTGTGCAGTGCTGTGTAGACGTATTTTCATTTGTATGAGGCTCTCTCTGTTTGCAGCAAACCCTGATAGTCCGCGATCCAGAGACTGGAGGTGCATGCTATTTGGATTCCATCTGGCTGTCCAATGACCGTTCTGTCATTTTGCAACGAAATGGAAAGCATCTGCTGGACGTCATTGGAGAAATTTCGAGCAGAACAAACTTCCAGCCCAAACTCGACCGGCGATATCAACAGGTATTTCGTTGAAATCTAACCGAAGATTATATGAATTGCATTCTGTTGACGTTTCGTCTTCTTCCAGTTCGTTGTACTCTGCATTTTCCAGTTATGGACGTTTCTCCAACAATGAATTGCAGTGTGCGTAGCTTTTTTGGTGGTTTCGTTTTCCGCCCATGCTCTGTTTTCGCGTGCTCTTCGTTGCTTTAAGTTTATTTTCTTGTCTTGCCAATCAACATCAAACTGTTGGCCAGCACAAACATCGGTGCTGACGAAGAAAGACTGAAGGTGGTGCATGCCCACAGCATTCAGTAGTTTCATTCGTTTGGTGTTCATGCTGGTTGTCTGTACGTTTTTCCGTGCCTCTAGGTGATTCCATGCGCCTGTTTGTTTTGCCTGTTGGCCTCTGAATTCCATTTTTGTGTATTTCGTTTATTTCGGCAACCTGGTTTTCACCTTTTTGCCGTCTTGCTTGCCTGTGGTGTTTCCCTGCGAAGGTGCTACACGAGCGTCACATCGCAGAAGATATGAACAAAAGTGGGAGCACAGCAAGAAAGTCGATGCTGTTGTTGCTGTGGCTGTTTCTGGTGATTCATTAGAGGCGAAGGACCTGTTGAGGAACACTACGCACACTTGTTATAGAATAACCCTCAGAGAACTCAAATAGGAATTGCCGTTCCTTGTTTTTATATACTGCGTTTGCTGCTAATTCAGGCCGCGGCACCGTCGCAGAAATGCGTAGGGACCCAGGCCTTGACAGCCTCCACACGGTAAGGAGCCCACACGTACCACAGCTTGGACGAATGCTGAGTTATATAAGCTTTTTGTGCATGCAACTGCTGTATATACAATCTTAAGTTCATAGGCGTTGTTTGAATGTATTAACGCTTAATCTTTTGTTTCCCATAAAATGCCACGGTCATCTGGTTATATTTTAACGCACAGCACACACGCAGAATGGAGAAAAAACCCTAAGACCGAAGCTCAACGTTTGGTTCAGTGGCTGCAGGCATTGGTGACCTCGCATTTTCGTTGGCTAAACCTATTTTTTGCGTTGTTTTGTTTGTTATGTTCAAAGCTTTTTCAATTCTACACGCCAAAGGCTTCTGCCTCTGCAGAAGACGGAAAACGCAGTGGACTCGAGTCTGTTTCTAGAGCGAAAGCTAAACGTAAGTTGGTGCTGATACCGCAAGGATGTCTGGTCAAAGTTTGGAATGTACAGGGCTTCAGTTGCGCCTGTTTAGTCGGAAGGCCCGTGCATTTTGAATATTGAGGCTTCGTATTGAGCGTTCTGCACTTCAGTTTTCAAGTTTTGCTTGAGTGAGGTTTCTTGTTGAACAACATTCCATTCTGCCCAGGCAGCAGTGGAGCTGCCTTGTATCTATTGCGATTGCGAGGGGGGGTTGGTTTAGGAAGTGTATATTTGTGCATTTTGCCTTTTTTTTCCAGAGAAGAGAGGAGTTATCCTTGATGCAGACTCTTTAAAGGTGAAACTCTTCAAAATGTTTGATGCCGCGGGCGCTGCGGGTCTTCAGCTGAAGCAAATTGCAGCGCAGACTCAGCAGCCTTTGTCCCATGTGAAGGCTGTAGTAGAAGAAATAGCAGAGCAGCGCAAGTGAGCCTCTTTGCCTTCCTTACGGATATCCCTCGAATTGAAGACATATGGCACGCAGACGAGGCAGATGCATAGTCTCAACGCTGCTCTTTCTATTATTCTGCCTACCCCTAAACCCGAAAACTTCAAACCCTAACACCAGCAGAGAAAGGAGAGCTTGGCAGTAGTCGTTGCTGTGTCGGATACCGTTTATTTTGAATGCTGTGGTAATGAAGTTATTTGACGAAAGGAGGTTAAGGTTGCTGAAATATGTACATTTCTGTATTTTCCCCTGCAGGCGGCTCAGCGACAGGAAGGCAGTTTACTTCTTGAAGCAGCAATACAGCGTGTACAGTGGTAAGATATTTGCGTGTGCTTGCATCCTCATATTTGTCCTTCGAAAATCGGGAGATGCACATGCGTATCATGTACAACTTTCCTCCTGCGTGTTTCAATCCGTTCGCCTCCCCTGTTCATGGCTGATGGCTCACTGTCCGTCTATATATATATATATATATATATAT